CAGGCAGGAGCCAGGGCAGCACCGGGTGTCACCCACTGCTCCCAGTGCCGAGGCGACTCCATCCCTCACTCGGCACCTGCCACGCCGGGTGACTAAGGAACGGGCTCAAAGCACCGCAGCGCTCGGCTATGGCCGAACTGCCCGCTGCCTGAGTCGTGAGGGGATCGGAAAGGCCGTCAACAAGTCGACTCTCCCTCCGCCGGTTATTTTTTCTTTGGCAGCATTATTAATCCAAGGGGCTGGGAGAGCCTTTGCACACATCAGAGTAACCGAGTTTGGACTTTGCTCCTCGGTAGTTATCTTCCTGTGCCAAATTACCTATTCAGATCTGTCATTTACACCGTTTCACAGCAGCCTTTTCACGAAGGTGAGGAACAAGAAACACGCTTTCAGAGGAGAGGAATCCATTACCAAATAATTAGCCTGACTTCACGTCTCATCCACCCACAACAGGACTCTAACTTTGCTAGGAAATTAAGGGCATCAAGAAAAAAAGCCCTCAGCTGCCTCGGCGGAGCGGACAGCAGGGACAGACACGGTCTCTGCCAGCGCAGGGACACCACAGGGGACACTGGGCTCCCTGGCAATCTTCCACGCCCAGAGCACGACGCTGGCCCGTACCAGCTGCCTGGTACCGGCGAAGAGCCGGGCTGGGGCTCGGCTCCTACTCCTCTGCATCAGCCTCCCCAGCCACCCACCAGCTCCGCTCACAGGCGCCGAAGCTGCTCACGTGGCAGGGAGATTAAAGAGTGCGTGGACCGGCAGCCCCGCGGCACAGCACAGCGCGCTGTCAGCACTCGAGGGCTCAGGCAGGGACAAACAGCAGCAGGCGGACACCGGGGAACCCCGCACTCCAGTTACCAGCGGCTGGAAACGCAGATGACGCCAAAGGTATCGCTTCCAGCTCCCCAAACTGGAGCCTGCTGGTTGAGGGAAGCAACAAGACACCACTTGGCGCGGACCGGAGGGAGCGGGGACGCAGTCAGCCGTCACCGAGAGACCTGAGCCCGCCTCC